TCTAACAAACTTTAATCACCCAAGTCTGAACCCTAAAGTAATACACGATTATCATCATCAGTACGTGAGCATAATTACCAAAGCATAATTACCGAAGACCCTAGGCTACTAGCCGGGCCGCCCKGGTCACCCTATTTTCCSGGGCGGCCCGGCCGTGCAAGGACTAGGGAAGGTCCCAGCCAAAACAAAAAACAAAAAGAAATCCAAAAAATCCAACTGATTAACTTTTGCCTCGGGGTCACATCGAAATTCTTTACCAAATCTAAAATAAAATTTTAAATAAAAAACTAATTGATATTTTTATTTTATTTTTTTCTTTTTGGCCCAGCCGGGCAAGTGGACCCGGGCCACTCTGGTAGCCTAGCAAAGCCTACATTTACGACCAGTAATCATCAAACGAAAAAACCACAAAACTTACCAACCAAATGAGGAACAGCAATTCAGAAGAGTAAACTCTCTCTCTCTCTCTCTCTCTCTCTCTCTCTCTCTCTCTCTCTCTCTCTCTCTCGTTCATCAGGGCCACGTGCACTGCTAAAATAAGACCGAGTGCCACAGTACTAGCTCTCTCAAAAGAGGAAATGCAAAGCCAACTTCGACCATGGAAATCACACCCCATGCCATTTAGCAACCTGATTCTCAAGCCTTTCGGTGCAGGGACCATCAAAAAGAAAACGCAAAACTTCCTGTGCTCCACACCAGTGCTGGTCCCGTGAACGTGACCGGCACCGGGTGCTGGTCACATGAACGTGACCGGCCGGTCACCGGAGCCAAAATCTGTGAACGGCTGTTCACGGGTTTTCCGCTCACGTGGACGGCGGTGCGGTCGGGATCGGGGCGGGAGGGGGGTGGTGCGGGGGCCTTCTACACCCCCGTGCCTTCAAATCTATAAAAAAAAAACAAAAAACAAAAACAAAAAAAACAAAAAAAAACAAAAAAAACAAAAAACAAAAAAAAACAGGACGGGGTGGCTTTGATAAAAAAAAGATTAAAGAAAAACAATTCAGGGGTCAAGGTGGGGGGGGGGTTGGCGCAGGGCCCTGGCAGAGAAGAGCCAAGAAGCAGAAAAAAATATATAAAAATTGTGGGGTGTCAGTAACGGGGGTTCACTTTCTCTCTCTCTCTCTCTCGCGCGCGCGCGCGCGCACGCGGATCCACATGGATAGCGCATCATAGCGGCATGGGTGGGCCGCGGCTGCTTTAATGGCACACAGGAACGCAGCTTTTGCCCGCAGCCAACGCCGGAAGTAGAAAACAACTCCTTTTCTTTTTCTTTTTTTTCTTTTTTTTTTTCCTTCTTCTTTCCTGTTACTTATTGTTTTTGGGATT